TCCAGTGTGGGGTAAGGGGGGAAGGGGGTAGGGGGAGGGGACAGCACAGTCAGAAATTCCATTCTGTGATGTTCTGAAAGGCCTGGGACCCCTAGTTCGTCCCTCTCTTGGCCTTCGGGTTCCTTTCCTGGGCCTAGAACTACATGGTGGATGTCTCGGCTCCTCATTTTCAGGCCTGTGGTTTCTTTAGAATGCCTCGGAGCTGCCTCTCGCCCTCAGCCTTGGTCACCCGGGCGGTCGCCTCCTGCGCTCCACACCAAGGGGAGGGGCGTGTGTGTTCTCTGACCTTCCCATGTCACCCTCTACCAGCAGTGTCCTGTGGCCGTGTCTGCATCAGTGGGAGTGAGTACAGCGTGGTGGTGGCGCACGCATGGCTGGAGTTGGGCTGCTGGGGGTCCCACCCTGCTGTGGTGACGTGTCTCCGAGATGGTCTTCGTTCCTTGCCCGGGTACTGTAAGCTCTTTCCCCACTGAGACAGCGAGCCCACACCTGCTTGAGCCTCGGCCGACCTGTAACTGTTTGACCAACGGCATGCAGTGGAAATGATGGGGTATGCTTTTTTAGAAGCAAGATCGTAAGAAATTTTGCAGTGTCTGCCTGGCCACCAACCATCCAAGATGGCCCGCCATTATGCCTGCTAAGCTGGGAGGCGGCCCAAGCCGGGCACGCAGACAGCGGCCACGAGGACAGCCGCTCTTCAGCCCTTGCTGCTTTAGACACCCAGCCCTGGCTCCGGAGCTGAAACTCAGCCTTCGCCACTATTGGATTGTATATGTTCGGCTGAATAAAGGACCTCAAGTGACAACGGGGCCCATCAAACCCCAGAGCCCTGTTAGGGAAATTAACCAATTATTTTAAGCTGCCTGACTTCATCACCAACTGAAAGTGTCACTCAGCTTCTCTGCACCCCAAATTTTCTCTTTTGTACAATGAGGGTGATCACAGGATTGCTGTGTGGATTAAATGGGGTTAAATGAGGCGATGGAAGTATGTTGCTTGGCACACAGCACTCAGTAAGTGTTAGCTACTATGCTTATTTCCCCTAGTAGGCTACAATCTCTTTGTGTGCAGGGGGAGGAGTGCTCAGCTCCTGGTCCCAGGTCACATACACTAGCAGGTGATTGAGAAACGTCTTAATGAATGAATAACGATGATATGACCGGTAGCAGGAATCTCCCAGCTCCCCATGCTTCTCTTGAATATTCTTTTGCCCCTGACATCTCTGTGTTTGTGTTGCCTCTACTACCAATCCCAACCCTGCATCAGAAGACACTGTTGCTCCCTCCTGGTCTTGCAGTGATCAGGCTGCAAGAATACACAAAGGCTTGCCGCCCCGCTGTAGAAAGTGCCTGGGAGGGATGGTAACGAAGTCAGGCTGGGGAGAGCTTTGAGGGAACACACAGAATGGGAAGTTGCTAGTAAGTGCTGATCAGACATTTATCTCCCCCATCTGAGGGATCCACTCTAAGGAACAGAGTGGGAAATCTCTCCCAAGCCTAGAAGAGTGAAACAAACCTCTGGAATATGTCATTCAACTTTTCTGCTGTGATAATTGGGAAATGAAAATGAGTATTTGAGCAGCAAGAAAGGCCGGGTGAAAGTTTCGGAGAAAATGACCCTTGTCCACCAGCAGAGGGCGAGCTTGGGAGGCAGCCTAAGGTTCAGTTAAAGGGTTCGGCTACCTGGAGCAATTTCTGGCTGGGGCTGCATGAGAAGACCAGGCGGTTTTCCCAATTGTGGCGGTTTTCAGGCCACTCGTGGGGACAGAACAGGTGATGCAGGGACTCATGCAGATACAAGCCGAGATCATGTGTATCTGAGCAGGAGCTGGCAGGAAATGACTCTCGGGACCAAAATAAGCGCAGAAGGCAGAGGTAGATTTGTTTTGTTTTCTTTCTTGAAAAGTTTAATTTTATTTTTTTCTATCACCATTTGCCCCCCTATACACTCTTCCACCTCCACCCCCACCCTCAAGCCCCCCAAGGTAGATTTGTTTTCCACACTGATTCTAAAATTGCGGCCCTTAGACCAGCAATACATTTGAACAGTAAAATACTTTGAACAGTAAAAGCCCCTGATGGTCACTTTGGTTTAGAATCAGCTAGAGACCCCACCCATGCATTTAGTCTAGGCCACGTGCTCCAGCATACGTACCTGTCTCTGCACTGGGGGGAGGGGTCGTGAAGGGGAAGGGCTCCTGGCTAACGATAAAGTGGAATGCCAACTTCCCATGGCTCTCTCTCTGAGGTATATGATATCCCCTTGGGCAACCTCACCAGAGGAGGGGTATCTGGGTCGGATCAGCATTCCTGAACACACAACCCTAATAATAATACCACCCCATTGCCACCATTACCCCATTACCCAGCTCAGAGTTCTCGGAAGACCCAGAAGTCAGATGACTAGAACAGAAAATCTCTAGTGGAAAATCCCAAGGGGTCCTCAAGGCTCCCCAAATTCCAAACAACTACCACATATCTACAGGAACATCCCCTGGTCAGACTCAACCTTTTTCTTTCTTTCTTTCTTTTTTTTGCCCCCCTAAAAGCTCATTCTGAAGGTTAGAACACATTTATACACAGAATCGCTGATTCTGGTGATGAAAAATGTTCTGAGAGAGTTAAGGGTATCAGCTGAGGGGCAGTCATATCATCGTTCTCACATCCAGGCAAATGATCTGCATACTCAGGCTCAGGGCAGAATTTCAGCTCAGCGGCTCCTGGGAGGGAAAAGCCAAGCGCAGGTGCATGCATTTTGCTCGTGGTAATGTGTATTTAGTTTGGCTGTTGTTGAGTAAAATGTTGGCTTAATACAGGAAAGCTTTTCAATTCCACACTAGGGAGCCAGCGAAGCACACCCCTCCTCAACATGAGGAGAATCTCTAAAGTGGGGATGATAATGCCTTCTGAATAGGATCGTAAAGACTCATAAAGTGCCGTACGTAAAGCATCTAGTTCAGTTCCCAGGACGTTTTAAGTGCTCACAAAATAACAGCTATTACTCTGTTAGTTATGTATTCTATATGATTTTAACTATATGAAAACATAACAAATACTGGAAGAACATATGTCAAAGAATAGGTGTCATCTCTGGGTGATTGGTTACCCTTTGTTTTACACTTTTCTGTATTGCCTCACATCTGTATAATTTTTATTTCCACAGTCACAAAACCACAAATAATTTTGAAAATAAAACTGTAACCACATATGCAGCCTTATAAATGTGTAAGGCACTTCTCAAGAATTCCACCCAATCGTCCCAACAAGCAATGAGGTGTCTCTTTTCAATCTACATTTTATAGAAGAGAAATTGAGCTCTTGCCAGTGAGTTAGAAAGCCAGGCTCTGAATACAGGCCCGTGAACCCCAAAGTTACTGTAACCAGGGGTTCTCGACTGGGGTGGGAGATGGGGATGATGGTTAGAAACCCCAGCTCCTCCTTCATATTCTCTCTCTCTCTCTCTCTCTCTCTCTCTCTCTCTCTCTCACACACACACACACACACACACACACACACATCTGCTGACACCCTGCCTCCCCTAATACACCATGTTGGATACGGAAGGCACTGATCAATTCAATGGAGGGAAAACCAGCCTTGGGAATGGAAGATAAGAAAGTAGCAGAGAGATCACATACAGACATAGCCCTGAGCTGTGGTCACAGCTGTAGCTTGCGTTTGGCCTTAAGTGATGTCATGTGCAGTAGCCAAGCAAATCCTCAAAGGATCTTACACCTCAGAGAACTCGGTCAGTGACAGGTATGCGAAAGTGCAGCCTAACTAACGGACTGAACTGGATTTCTTTTCGGCAACAGATGGTCCCATGCATCAAGCATATCCATCTCTGATACAGAAAGGCTGGTGAGTGATTAAAACCAATCACCGGCCTGGAGGAGCTGCACGCTTGATGGGTGTACAGGAAATGTTCACTAGGCTCTCAACCAGGCTGATGGCTCTGAATCTCTGGAGAAGAGCAGATGTCTGTACTTGTCTTTGCCAAATTTCAAATTAATCACCTGCCTGTAATTTGGAGGGGCTGCACAAATGCTGGGTCCCTGCAGGGCACGAATCAACCAATAACAGTTCATCTATCTTTGCAGCATCTTTGCTGTTCTGGTCAAGTTTAAAGATTGTATGTGTTCTTTTGCACACAAGCCTGATTGATATTAGAATCTTCTAAATGTACTCTGCCCAGGGACAGATTAATATCTTGCTGGATCTTTGCAAACTCCTGCCAGCAGAATGTAAAAAACGGTTTTGGTAGAAGGTCGTGAGTTCAGTAATGAAACGGCACACCTGTCCATGGCATATTTTGAATCTGCCTGTCCATTCCCCTGCCTTCTTCTAAGGGCCTTCCTGATTTTCCTCTGGTAATTTCCCCTCCCTTTCTCACTATGTGTGGTGCCCACTCTCCCTCCTCCCTTCTAGTTTCCGCCCTGGTCCTCCAGGCCGGATGGGGATAGTCTTGGGAATTCCCTCCCATCTTCCCCTTGGCCACAGTGAGTGAATGGTTCAGTGATGGGCCTGTGACCTAATAACCCAGGATAAGGAAACACAACCCGGGGTGCTTTTCTTGGACCCTTGGGCAGATAGAAACCTTTTTCTGTGAGGCCACTTAGATGGTGGGAGACAAGCCTGGAACAGGAAGAAAATGAGGCCAGCACCCAGGAAGGACAATCCAAGAGCTGGGAGAAGTCAGATGATGGATAAACTAATTTGGATATGTAGTGAGCCACTCCTGGACCGGTTAGCTACTTGAGCCGATAACTCCATCACTACCATCCCTTCCCTTTCTTCTTCTTTTTTTGCGACTTTGTGTGAGTTTCTGCCATTTGTAACTAAAAGTTTTGATTCATGTCATTGGGAAGGCAAGAGACTTTGCATTTATCTCCCAACCTCAGTGACATCCCACACGTCTCTCCTGGGATAATCCCCAAGGACACTTACCCTGCGCCCGAACTCTTCGCCTTGCTTCACTTCCCGAGGGTAGCCGTCGATCAGGAAGCCCGTGGTGTGGCCGAGGCTGGCCGCCATGGCCTCCCGCAGCAGCTCCAGAAGGATGCCCTGCAGCGGAGGGAAGGGGTCAGGACTGAGCTCCTCCCAGAGCAATGCCTGCATGGCCTCAGGGCTCCTCGGTCAGCCCAGCCCAGAGGGAGGGCGGGTCAGATAGGATTAACAGCGGACAGAAAATGTGCTGTTTCTCATCAACTCTAAGCCTCATTCTCTCCCTGACACACATTTTAATGTCTTTGAAATTGGTAGGTATCTTACAATCAGTGCTGGGCATAATTTAATTGTTAGTGTTTTTTTTCCTACTGGTATATTTTTACTGGTTATATTTTACTGGGGTGTCTTAAAATAATGGCATCTTAGATTAGATAAAATATAGTGGCCACTTTTCACATGGCAGCACCCCATAAATTAGGCAGAATGGCAGTTTAAAACTAGGCAAAACATACTGTTGATTTTTTACCAGCAAATGTATTAGTTTTGACAGCCAGTAACTTGAGAAGATTTTCAGTAGCTATGAAGTAGCATTTTCTAGCAACAGCACTTTCTCTGTTAGAAACGTAGATAGGACCCGTGCCTATGGCAAGTAACAGAGGAGAGATGTCCGGAAGCTTGGGAAGGGATGCAGGAGCAATGCCTCCAGCCTGTTCCCTGGCTCCCCAGCTCCCCCAGCTTTGGCCACGGTCTCGGAGAATGCAGGCACCACAGGGTGGTCAGAAACTATCCCTAGATAATGGGAAATTAACTGCTTGTGAAGTTGACATACTAGTGAGGAAGACAGATAATAGATGAACAAATAAGTAACAGTCAGCTAGAGAGAACCACTGGGGACAAAATTAAAGCAGGGCTAAGAGATACAGGTGGTGAGGGAGGTCTCTTTGATAAATTGCCACATTAAAGTAGGGATCTGGGTGAAGTAAAGGAGCATCTATCTGAATATGTGAAGGAAGAGAACACAGGCTGAGGACGTAGCATGTGCAAAGGCCCTGAGGCACGCACAGCCTGGCCTGTAGGAGGAATGGTGGCTGGTGGGTGTGAGCAAGGCGAGTGGTGGGAACAGAGCCAGGGGAAGGACTCTGGATTTTATTTTAACTGTGGCGGGGAGCCACCGGAAGATGCTGGGAAGGGAATAAAATAATTTGATAAACACTTTCAGGAAATCATTCTGTTTGCTGTGAAAAGAATAAACTGTAAGGAGGAGTGGCCACAAGGAAGCGAGCTAAGAGGCAATTGCAGCGGTTTGTTGTTTTCCATGAGAGCCATTCTGTCTTCCTGGCAATGCAGCCGGCCAAGGAGGAGCATAAAGCTCCGTGAGCTCAAGCCCTGTTACAGACCCTGGGACTTGGCGTGGGAGGAATTAATAGTTTTTGACACCCATGGCATCCAGCTTCTCAGAAATGGATGGCGACTTGAAAAAACACATATAAACAACGATACGTAAGAAAGATACATATTCTTAAACTACACAAGGAAGATACCAAAGTTCAAGACAATGCTGTCATTCCTCCCACAATAACGGAAACTTTATTTTCTCTTTTACAGAGGGTTGTATCTCTAGGCCTTGCTGTACCACGCTTCATCTCTGCTTTAAATATTTCAGTTCTAAAGTGGGACCAGTTTGGGGGGAAAGGTGAGACAGGCTAATATTCAAGGAGCTGGCAGGGCAACAAGACAGAAGGAACGTGGGCCTGGACAACGTGGATCTCCTGCCTGCCTCTGCCGGCTCCGCAGAGAGAACTCGAATACAGCCCTTGTCCTTTTGGGCTCCTCTGTTCCCGCAGCTTAGACTAAAGGCAGCACCCCACAATATCCCCCCAGCCGGGGAGGCAGCTGTTGCTTACGGACGGCACCAGGTCTCCACGTTCCATGGTGTCTCTGATCAATTTGCTTCTTTCAGAGTCTGATGCCAGCTCGTGACGCAGGAGCTCACCAGTCGAGAGGTGTGTGAATCCGTATTTTTCCACCAGCTTTGCACACTGCGTGCCTTTGCCAGAGCCTGGGCCACCTGGAAAGAAGTCACGCATCAGACATGCATCCCACGTCTGGTGCCTCAGATTTTTTTAAAAAAGATTTTTTAATTGATATTTCGAGAGAGAAGAAGGGAAAGGAAGAGGGAGAGGAAGAAGAAGGGAGAGAGAGAAACACGGATGTGAGAGTGAAACATGGACTTGGCTGCCTCCTGCACACCCCTGCCCGGGGATTGAACCTGAAACCCGAATTGAATGGGCGACCTTTCTGTGCACAGGAGGACACCCAACCAACCGAGCCACGCCGGCCAGGGCTCATTTTTGACTGTACTCATCATGGTGGACAAGCCTCAGTGCTTCATTCACTGAGCATACACTGAGCACTGTGATTTACCGGGAGCTATGGGGGGCGATGTGGACACATGGAGAATGGGCTACAGTCCTTGCCCTCAAAGAGCTTACTGCCCAAGGAGGGCGCCGGCATCACAGACAGACCACAAGCAGTGAGTGCAGTGGCCGGTGGTCCGGTGGGAGGAGCTCAGGCCGGGCGTCTCAGGGGAGGGGAGAGGGATGCCCTTTGGGTAGAGATGCAAGCCAGACAAGTTTCCTGGGGAACCGATCTGCTCATGTGAAAGCACTGCCACGGTGTCTAATAAAGAGAGATGCTCAACAAATGCTAGCTCTTCATTTAAAAATAAATTGCTCTCCTTTTCAATTGCCAACTTACGGACAACTTACAAGCAGAGTACAGAAAGCTTTCGGAAACATCTGAGCATAAGTTGCCCACCTGATGCCTCACACTACAGGACACTTTGTGTCATTTCTTTTGAAAAAGGAGCCAAGCACAGGCTTCTACATAGCTACATCTTCAGACCCCACTCAAATGTCAGTGGAATTATCTCAATTGTCCCAATAGTGTCTTTGGAAGCCAATGGATCAAGTTCTAAGTCTGGTGTTGCCTTTAGTTGTCATGTCTTTCTGGTGTCCTACAGGATAGAACAGTCCCTTTGTGTTTCCTCGACACTTAAAAATATATATATATTTCAGAGAGGAAAGGAGAGGGAGAAACATCAATGATGAGAGAGAATCATTGATTGGCTGCCTCCTTCATGCCACCCACGTGGATTGCCTGCATCCTGGGCTTGTGACCTGACTGGGAATTGAACGGTGACCTCCTAGTTCATAGGTCGACACTCAACAACGGAGCCACGCTGGCTGGGCTCCTCAACACTTTTTAAAAAATTACATTTATTGGGGTGACATTGGTCAACATGAACATACAGGTTTCAGGTGTGGGTTTCTATAAGATCTGTATATCGCACCATGCGCTCACTACCCAAAGTCAAATCTCCTGTCACTATATATCCTTGACACTTTGAAGATTATAAAGTGTGGGAAACTGTTTATTGCCTTCACTATCTCATAAGCATAGTCAGAGAACCCCCCAAAGGCTGGGTGCCTTTGAAGCCCTAGCAGAGGTCTGAGCTAGGCGCCACCTCTGTTTGTCCAGACAGTGGTAGCTGAAACTACTCCCCCATTTATTATTATGTAAATCCTTGCTGATGAGCTAGTCTGCCTGTTGCAGGGGGTCACCTGCCTAAGGGCTATGCTATGGGTGCATCCCAGATCAATAAAAGCTTGGTGAGGCCTGAGAATGGGAGGCAGTCCTTCGGGACTTGCCGCCTGGTCCCCCAATATTGCAAAATTATCTCGTGTCTTTTTCTCTCATTTGTTGTGCGGCTCCTCTTTCAGATACCGAACCCTACTCCACGCAGAACGTGGAGGGAGTCTTACTCGACAATAAAGTTCCTTTGTAATGTCCCTCGATGTGATTTTCTGCCGTTTTCTAGTTATTGTTATTAATTCTGGGTATCTGCCAGGCTCCTCTGATGAGCATTACACCTTTGACTCGTTCCCTTGCCTCCCCAGTGGCAACTAGTTGCTAAGTTAGGATTTTACATTTGAAAGTAATAATAGCTAACCGTGGTCTAGTCGCTGCTCTAAGCATTTTATGTGCATTGATTTGAACCAGGCACTGTTCTTATCCCCATTTTACAGATGGGGAAGCAGAGACATAGCGAAGGTAACTCCACTGCCTCAGGCCAGTAAGTAGCAGGTCCAGGATTGAAGCCTGGCTCTGGCTCTCCAGGGCGTTCTTCCTCTCCTCCCCGCTGTGAGCTCAGGTGCTCAGCCCACAGCACACCTGCTGGCAGGATGATTTGCCTGAAAAGCATGCCACTTCCCAGCTCCTTAGAACTGAATGGCTTCCCAGTCCCTGCAGTATAGAATCTGAACTCTGTAGAGGGACATTCAACCAGCCAGACTCGGGTTGCATTTAACCTCTCCAACCTTTTTTCCCATTTCTTATCCTTGTCCAACACTGTCAGTCCAACCACATACTGTCCCTTCAATAAGGTGCGCTTTTCCAGGCCACTGTGCTTCTGCGCTTCGAGGTCCTCGGCCTGAAGGCCATAAATCAGCTCTCTGCCCCTCGGCCCTGTTGGAGTGACTGGTTTACATGTGCCCTTGGCCTGGCTTACACTTGGTCTCCAGGTTCCCCACTAGCACAGCACCTTGCACACAGTAGGTGCTCCATTACACCTGAGGAATCCAGGTTTTCTTGGTAAAGAGAATATTGAACATTAACATGCAAAGCACGATTGATATTTTCATATGGCAGTGAGGATTTATGGCTCATCTCCAGCTTTCCGGGCTTGCCTCTCTTCACATCCAAAGCTTTTGCTTGGGATATTTGGCAACTTCCCTTTTGAGGGACAACATCAGTTGTTGTTTCTCCTCAGTAGAAGGGCCTCTCATTCCCTCCCTGTGGCCTTGGTGGAAATACAGGAAAGGCCATGTTTTCTATGGTCTGCTCATCCACACAGCTGCCTAAACCAGGTGGGGAGGGTTTAGATCCCTCCGTGTAGTCATGGGTGGGCTAGATGTCAGGGGAAACAGCAATGACAGAGGCTGGCCACTTAGGACCAGGTGCTGGCCAGCTAATGCTGTTTGCTCCAAGCACTATGGCTCCCGTCTGCTGAGATAATAGAAACAAGAGAAGGCCACTCAGGGAAGAAGAGCTTACAGATAAATGAGTACGGGGAACACGAGGCTGAGCTCCTGACCGATTTACCCAGAAACTCCTTTCCTGGGATGGCTGGAAGCCAGTCATGTGGAAAAGATATTTTCGAACACAGCTTACCAGGCCAAAATGCCGCGTTCCAGTTATTTTTTCTCTTTCAGCATCCTGCTAATACAGCTATTATAGTTTTGGTCCTCTAAAATGTTATTTAACAAATCTCAACAGAAAAACAATTAAAAATCTTCAGCTCAAATAACAACAGCTGGGTGTTAAACACCAGCGGGTGCCCTTAGGAACCTCTCGTGGGAGCAGCAGCTGCAAATTCTTAGCATTCTTTGGCCAAATGGTGCAGGCACCGTGGAGTTGTAAGTAATTTACACAATGCCTTGATTCTTCCCATGGCTCCTAACTGGAAAACAAAGTGATTTTCACCACTATAGTACGGCCCAACAACTGCTAGTAGGAATATGAGTTTTCATATACTGTTATTTGCATGCCTTCAAGGCTTTTACTTATGATCCTATATAATAAAAGGCTACTATGCAAATCAACTGAACAGCAGAAGGACTGGCTGCTATGACACACACTGACCACCAGGGGGCAGATGCTCAATGCAGGAGCTGCCCCCTGGTGGTCAGTGTGCACCCACAGGGGGAGCACCTCTCAGCCAGAAGCTGGGCTCATGGCTGGTGAGCGCAGCAGTGGTGGTGGGAGCCTTTCCCAACTCCGTGGCAGCACTAAGGATGTCTGACTGACAGCTTAGGCCCACTCCTAAGCCATCAGTCGGACATCACCCGAGGGCTCCCGGACTGCTAACGGGTGCAGGCCAGGCTGAGTGCCACCTCGCCATGATGCACGAATGTTGTGCACTGAGCCTCTATTTTTAAAATAACCAACGGGGCCTTGATATCCCTCCAGGATAATTGGTTGCATGGAAAAAAATGTTTGCGGTGCCACATATCAGGATGAGCAGTCTGTGTCCTCTGGTGACAAGATAATCAATAGCAGATGAGGGGTTGTCACACTGATGTCATTTTACTGGTTTTCAGGGTATCATTTCATTGCTCAAGGCTTAACCCCCAAAGCAAACCTATACTCAATACGGCATCCTGTGACCCACAAAGAGAGTGGAATATGAGATCCCATTTTAAAGGGGTCTGTCAACACTTCAAAAAAAAAAAAGCGAAAAATCTTTATTCTCAACCTCCAGTGTAATTTAACATTTTTGTCAGGGGAGGTCAAAGGTGCTATATTGTGCGAGTGAAAATACTGTCAACTCCCACTTCACAGCTGAGCGTGTTATTTCCCCCTAAGGTTCCCTCAGCACTGCACGAAGGAAGGAAGGAAGGAAGGAAGGAAGGAAGGAAGGAAGGAAGGAAGGGAGAGAGGGGGGGAGGAAGGAAGGAAGGAAGGGAGGGAGGGAGGAAGGAAAAAAGGAAGGGAGGAGGGAGAAAGGGAGGGAAGGGAGGAAGCAAGAAAGGAAGGAAGGAAGGAAGGAAGGAAGGAAGGAAGGGAGGAAGGAAGGAAGGAAGGAAGGAGGGAGGGAAAAAGGGATGGAGGGCGGGATGTAGGAAAGGAGGGAAGGGCCATGTCTGTATCCTCACTCAAGCATTCTCGTGGAACTGGAACTGAAACCAGCGGCCTCACCTCGCCTGCCCACCTGAGCCCGTTTCCAGGGTGCTTTGTATTTACTGGAGTAACTCTTTCTTAGGAGCCGGCTCCTGGGTTCATTAGCTGGGCCCCGCAAGAGAAGACCTCCCGCTCCTAGGCAACTGTTGCAGGGTGCTTGGCCTCAGGGTAAAGCGGGTGAAATGGCAAGGCTGGGGTGTTCCAGCACGCTCTGTGCTCACAAAGCCCAAACAAATAGCAATGTCAGGCAGGTCAGCCGCTAACCCCCGATCCAAACAAATGCATGTATGTAGGTTTCTGTTATGCTTTGATTTTTAAAGATTTTAA